ATGTGGAAGGAAAAAAATAAGATAACATACTTCCCTTTTCTGTATGAAATTTTTGTTATGTTTGATAATTGGAAGAAGCCAATGCTTACTTGTGCCCCACTAGAAGTGGATCTGTATTCGTTTTAAAATAAGCACATGTTTAAAAATTATATGTGCAGGAAAGAATGTCAAATATGAATTCTGATCTTTTCTTTCTTTTCTTTTGTTCTCTGTATCAACTCTTTTGCTGTCGGTAGCAGGCAGCTCGAGAAGAGGCATGGGCCAAGGTTTCTGCTCTTGAACTAGAGATAAGTGCTGCAATGCGGGATCTTGATTTTGAGAGGCGCAGACTGAAAGGTGCTAGAGAAAGAATAATGCTACGGTAAGAAGTAGATGTGTATGACTGGTACTAATATCAATTAGATTTACTGGTTTGAAGAAATGTCGTTGAAAATTTATTGCTTCTGGATCCGACACAATCCATCTTTTCCCCTCTTATAAAGCAGTATAAATGCTAAAAGTAGAGGTTGTCCAAGTTTAGTGGATTTTTATGTGATGCTTTTTCCTCAGAATTAGACAAACCTCAATTTTTATGATAACCATATGTCAGCCTAGTCTGTTGACACGTGTTTAATGGATTTCTTATTTTTATCATTACTATTTGTGTTCAGAACAATTCTTTTAAAATCTTGAGCCATCTGAGAAGGAGATGATGTTTTTAGTTAAAAAATAAGTCAATAACCAAATGGAATTATTGATACCATGCAAGATATTGCATGTATCATTTCACTGAGAGCGATGATTTACACAGTAATGTGCTGAGCTTTTATTATCCTCTTTATATGTTGTCAGAGATGCTAGTGTTTGCTTACTGCCTTTAATCTTCGGGCATTTCCCTATCTCGACTTGCCTTATATAATGGTGGTTTATATTATGTGTTTGCAATGCAGAGAAACACAACTTCGGGCTTTCTATTCTACTACTGAGGAGATCTCAGTTTTGTTTGCAAAGCAGCAGGAGCAATTGAAGGCAATGCAGAGGACATTAAAAGATGAGGAAAATTATGAGAATACCTCTGTAGATATTGACCTTAATCCATATAATGTGAATGTGAATGGATCCCTATTAAGAGAGAAAGAAGTAGGAGATGGAAGCCACAATGTGACTAGGGCTGGCTGCAGTACTTCCAACCAGAGGCGTGTTAGGGAATTATTTGATTTATCAAGTGATGACGCAAGTGCTACAGAGAAGCATGATTGCAATAACAGAAGTGAAGGGGGACAAGACACACAGGAGGTAGAATTTGCTGGAGCTCAATGTGTGAAGGGTGGATTTGGTTCTGAAGTTGATGGTGTGGGAACTGAGCTAATCCCTGAAAGTGATACAGCTGGTGTAGCAGCCAATATGGAGGGTGACCTTGTTGGAACAGAACAGGTGCAAGAAACTGAGAGCTTGGGAATCAATAGTGAAAGGAATTTAGATTTAAACAAATTCTGTGCTTTTGCTGAGAACACAATGCAGCTGGATGGTGGAACTCTTGGGAAAGAAGCTCAGGTGCAGAACCCTGCAATTTGTGATGAGAGTATGCCTCCTTCCCCAGCAAATAATGTCGCTGAGGGTGATAATGTGATTGAAGATACTGAAGCTGAAGGAACCATTAGGACAGCTGATCTTTTGGCTTCAGAGGTTGCTGGGAGTTGGGCGTGCAGTACGGCTCCTTCTGTCCATGGTGAGAATGATACTCCTAAGAGTAAAGACAATGATGCATGTCCTGCAACTTTACAAGATTCAGGTGCTCAAGTGGGTGAAAGTCAATGCGCTACATCTACTTCCAAAGCTTCTTCTAGATGGGATCAAGATCGTAAAGCACTAAGTGAGATGATTGGAATTGTTGCCCCTGATTTGAAGGAGCAATTCAGTCATGCAGTTGGTAGTGACTGTGATCAAGGAGGAAATGAGGGAGACGCTTCTGATTCCGCTACAGAAAGTTGCTCTGATGATGAGGATAACATAATGAATACCGAAGCTGCATCTGATGCAGAGACAGTTGACGGTGAAAAAGTGAATGAGGATGTAATGGACGAAGATGATGAAGCCACCCAAGAGGATTCTATTGGATAGCCGGCATACTTGTGGATTGAATTTGGTGTTCTCTCTGATTTTTTTAGGCTTTAGAAGTGCAAATGTGACCATGGGTCATGAAGCCACACCTCAAGTTTTTGTAAACAGGAAGAAGGGAGGCTCGTGCTGTGTTATCAGAGCTTAAACTTAGCATTTCGTAAAGCTTGGATCATGTACAGAAGGTACCCTAGTATTGCATGTCTAAATTATCTTTAAGTTTCGATTTACGTTAGCAGTTTGTATCCAGTTTCACATTTGTATATTTTTAGAGTACTGCTTAGAACTAGAAATCTTGGTTAGGCCAAGTCAAAGTGCATTAGGTGCCGATTGTTTGCTCGGCACTCGCACCTCTAGTAAATTATCAAGAGTGTGACAGACCGGCTAATTCATTTTTTTTGTAGTTATGTTTTCTCCAAAGTTCACAAGGACTTATGTGGTCATTTATTCACAATTTTGGTAATGATTAAGCTTCTCTGCTGAGCCTTTTAGTTTCTTTCAGAGGCAGCAGAATATTTTGAGTGCCTGAATTGACCATCTTTTGTGGAAGCTAAACATGTGAAATCAAAGGGTAGTACTTGAACGCATACTGTGGAATACAGTACATGTGAAATAATGATTTAAAAACTGTTTCAATTGAATTAGGCATCTTGGTCCTTGAAACCTAACATGATTCAGGCCAAAAACAGAAGAAGTTATAATTAACTATCAAAATTTGTTTACAAATTACTTCGAAATCTTAAAATGAGTGTCTTTTACCATACCTAAATTGTTTGCCTAACTATTTTTTCATGAGGGTTCATCATTGTCTTCAAAGTTCATATGGCCTTTTTCATTATTTTTTTCTTGGGTCAACATTCAAATTACGCCACTAAAGAATAAAATAAAATTATTACCATGTATATGAAAGAGTTAATAATGATAGCAGCAACAGCTAATAAGTTCAATTAAGGGACCATTTGAATTGTCCACACGTAGTAATTGGATAAACACCACAAGTCCACAATCTTCTTCTTCCTCCCATAATGATGAACAAGACTCCAAGAGAAAGAAAAAAGATGTGGGTTTAATGATGGTAATGTAGAAGTAGATAGATCCCAATTTTGGCTCCTTTTGACTCTCCACCTCCCTCATTCACATGCACTTGGAACTTGCTTCACCTGTCCTTTTGTATTCAAACTTCTTTTCATAAAAAAAAGAAAAGGGATAAGGGTATGAAAAATATCCCAATTATGGTCGGATTTGTTGTTGTGATACTAAACTTTCATGAGGACCTATTACCTTCCTAGACTATTTAATACCGTATTTTAAACATATATATTTGCCCACATGGACATAAAAAATAATGCAAAATTATAAATAGTAATGTGTCCACATGGACACATATATACCTTTAAAATACACTATTAAATAGTTCGGGGGGTAAAAAATACGGTATTAAATAGTCTAGGGAGGTAATAGGTTCTCATGAAAGTTTAGTATCGTAACAGCAAATCGATAAACACCACAAGTCCACAATCTTCTTCTTCCTCCCATAATGATGAACAAGACTCCAAGAGAAAGAAAAAAGATGTGGGTTTAATGATGGTAATGTAGAAGTAGATAGATCCCAATTTTGGCTCCTTTTGACTCTCCACCTCCCTCATTCACATGCACTTGGAACTTGCTTCACCTGTCCTTTTGTATTCAAACTTCTTTTCATAAAAAAAAGAAAAGGGATAAGGGTATGAAAAATATCCCAATTATGGTCGGATTTGTTGTTGTGATACTAAACTTTCATGAGGACCTATTACCTTCCTAGACTATTTAATACCGTATTTTAAACATATATATTTGCCCACATGGACATAAAAAATAATGCAAAATTATAAATAGTAATGTGTCCACATGGACACATATATACCTTTAAAATACACTATTAAATAGTTCGGGGGGTAAAAAATACGGTATTAAATAGTCTAGGGAGGTAATAAGTCCTTATGAAAGTTTAGTATCGCAACAACAAATTCGACCAAAGTTGGGGTATTTTTCAGACCCTTATTTAAAAAAAAAACAAAGAAAAAAGAAACAATTCATCAACTAGAAGTATAACAACAATGGAACAAAAAAGAAGTAAGTGTTACGAAATCAAACTTGAAGAGATCTTTATGTATTATTCTTTATTGCTTAATAACAGTAATGATTTTGTAGATTAATTAGTTTAGCTTGAATGATTTTGTTGATACTATAGTTGGATGACCATTTAAGTTAGTCCATTCAATTTAATTAAAATAGCTTTACTTCATTTTTTTACAAAACCAGGAAGCTAAGTTCAATCCTTGAAAAACAATGTGAAAATGCTTGGTAATCTTAACTGTTTCTTGTCTGACTACAAACATAAAATTTAACTTATTTGTGAAAGTTTTGTCAGCTTATTTGTCTTATAATCATTAGTCAAATTAAATTTTTGACTAGTAAATGGAATTAAATCCAAAAAAAATCTTTAACAACTTAATCCAACTTTAATCAAGGCAATTAATTGGGCATTAAAAAGTGTTGTATTTTGGGACCCCTTCTTCGTATCTTCATATCAATTAAATATTTTATCCTTTGTAATCAATGACTAATTTGCAATGACTTCCACAACCCAATGTAACTTTTCTTTCTTCCTTTTGGACTTTGAATGCCTCGATTAAATAAACAACTAGCCTTTGCCTCGATCTAACGTTACATCAATTCGTTAAATTCCACTATACTCCATAGGCATCCTTTTTTCTTTTTGGGCAAGTTACTCAGTCATTTAAACAAAATTACATTCACTAAATAAATATATATTATTTTATATTAAATATACATTTACTAATTATTATTTTAATGAACAACTATTTATATTAACTTGAGGTGAAGTGGGGAGGAGTGGGGGTTAGAAAATTATGCATTTGCTTCAGCTTTTTCCACGGTCTACTTATTGAAGGAGACTATATAAAGGAGTGTAATGATGATATTAAAAGGAGGAATGAAGTAAAATTCAAAAAGGTGACCACCAAGTTGTACTCTACTATCTAGTAATGCATTTTTCTTTTTCTGTTTCACAATTTGATGATATCTAAGTTTCGATAAAATAATAAAATGGTTCCTTGTATTTTAAATCTAACAAAATCTAACAGATAATTTGTTAGAATTTGAAAAAAAATCAATGTGTTTATTTTTGACAAAACTAAAGAATCAAAATTCTTTTAAGTGCATATTTAAGGGATTACTTTGAATCTGTTTTCAAACATAAGAGATTATTTTTGTTATTTTTCTCTTTGAATTTTACTGATTCAACTAATTTCAATTTTTGCTACATAGGTCTGTAAAGAAAAACTAAAAAATTTACCCTAATAAGAGACTATTAACTTTGAATAGAGAAATCTCAATCATATGAGCATATAAGCACTATAACAAAAAAGATATTTAGAGACAATAGATTTTTATTGTTTTGATAATATTTATTGTCGTAAAAATATTTAGCGGCATTGAGTTAATGTCATTATATTGAGAGTCGCTAGAAACTTTAGTAGCATTTATACGAAATACTGATTATAAATATAAATATTTATTTTTATAACTATCATTGAATGATATTTATATTATTACCGCTAAATCTTTTATTTGTTTAAGTGTAGTGATACAATTAACATTTAGTTCTTTTCCTCTTAGATTGAGACAATTATAGACAATTCCAAAGAAACATTTGAAGTAATTTTATTTGTATTACTCTTTCTTTCTTTCTTTCCTTATTTTCTTTCTTCTTCTTGAGATATGGTTTGGCTACTTTGTTGGCCTTTTGTAATCATGAGGACCTTGTGTCATCATTGCTTTGGAAAAATATGTACTACTCTCCCTCTTCCTCTCTTCTTCTCAAATAATTAACTCTTTTTCCTTCATCACTATAAGTTATCCATCCTCTTGCACCTTTTTTTCTAAGCTCAATCTTGATTATAATTAATCTACTTAATTTTTCCTATCTTTTTGTCTCCCATTTTAATTCTCTTAAAGTGAAAGATCAAAATGTGTCATGCAGTTTCAGATCATTTAGAGTCATTTCAACCTTCATGTTACACTGACCTAGTCCACAGGCCACAAACATCTAAAACAGCCGAGATACATGTGCTCAAGCTAAGAAGAAGGTTAGTATATAGCTAGTTGTTTTAATTTGCATTATCACATTAAATTGCTAAAATAAGTGAAGAATCTAATCAATCGCAAAGTTTGTAGGATCATTAAATTTGTTTCACTAGTCTAAACAGTGTAATCACATACAAATACGAATTACATTATATAAAGTCACAGTCTATATAATTGCGTACTTCTTATAGTTATTAGCTTTTCGGAGAAAAATCTCCACTCGAACTTCATTGGAATTGGAGAAGGAAGAAGGAGAAAAAGTTGTCTGTTCTTTTAAATTTACAGAGCATGAAAAGATACGTTGGTTTCTCTCCTCTTATAATTCTAAAGCGACACAACTTTTCAAATAGTTATATCTCTTCCCTTTAATTAATAAAAAAAGATATAATAATTATGTATTATTTATTTATTAATATGAATCCGATCTAGTGATCCACATGGATGGATCAATCCTATTTCCTTCAATAAGTACTAATAACATGCCATAAATTAGTTAAGTCTTGCAAAAATATGCATCGGATTAAGTTGACTCAAGATAATAGGCAACTCGCAGATATAATATGTTAATAAAGTAATAGCAATATATAGCTATAACTAGTTATAATTAAATTGCATTAATCGTATTATTTTGATATTTGATTGTCAATTAATTTGTAATATGTCATATAGGAACGGTGAAAGATTGTCGAACGAAGCAAAGAAAAGGGCAAAGTTAAGGAAATTGAAGAACATAATGAAGATGAAGAACTTGAAGCTCAACAAAGAGAACAAAACCATTATTGAAGAGAATGAAAAGTTGCGCAAAAGAGCTCTTCTTCTTCATCAAGAAAACAAAGCCATGTTCACTCAAATTATTCAACAAATTTCTCAACCCTCTAATTATCACAATTATTAATGACTAAGTTAGCATCATATGATATTTATAGAGCTAATTATTAATTAAAGCACTATTTAGCCAGAATATATACACGTACTAAATACCTATGCAAGTTATTTTATTATTAAAAAAAAACCTCTTCATTATTGTTATTTATAATTAACGATTGGTTATTTGTAGTATTTTATTTTTGTCATCTTATGTTCAATTACTTATCACGTGGTGGAATAATAATTTAAAATGAAGATTTGAAGGTTTGTTTGATTTGGCTTTGGAGGATCTATTTGATTCATTTAAGTTGACGAGTCTTCTGGCGATAATATTTTATTTGTTATTTTTAATTACTACTTATTTAATTACTATATAATTTTTGGTTATATAAAATTTATTTATTTAAATAAAAATAATAATATCATCTTAATAATATAAAAAAAAACATATAATAATATAGATCGAAGGAGGTATAAAAATATAATGAACAATTATGTTTTTTTATTAATCTCAGATTTAAATAAATTTTGTTTTGTTTTAATCAAAACAATAAATTCATGATGGTTAAAAAACTTGAGAACAAATGATGCAGTTGAAAAAAAAGTTTAAAAATAATGGAGTAGCAAACTTCTATTATGGCAAAATAAGTTAGGTTAGATTTGTTACTAAGTATTATTTTAGTAAATTGATAATTGAAGCATGTTATGAAACTTATATTTTAAATTTAAACTTTTGAGATAAATTTGTGTGTTGAATCATGTTATTAATGTTGAAATTATAAAATAAAAAAATTATTCATTTGAACGTTATATGAAAATGCCTAAAATTTAGCTAAATATATTTCTTGACATCATGTGAAAATGCCTGAACCTACCAAACCCCAGTCATGACAATATGTCAGTTCCATCTAAATAGATGAGAAATGACTGATGTTCTTGTCGACTCATTATAAAAATTTCAAAAACAAATACTCCCTCCGTTTCAAAACGATTGACCTCATTTTTTTTTTAGTCAGTTTCAAAATGAATGACATCTTTCTTTTTTTGGTAAGATTTTAATTTCAATTTTTCACGTGGCATGTTTAAGGCCACAAGATTAAAGGGCAATTTTATACATTTGACATAACTTTAATTTAGGACCACAAGATTCAAATGTCTTCTTTATTTTCTTAAACTCCGTGCCAAGTCAAACTAGACCATTCTTTGTGAAACGGAGGGAGTATAATAGTTAATCACTTATATTTGTGTATCAATCAATTAGACCCTTCCATAATGAAGGGTTAAATACTAGATTGTGAAATGCAATGAATATAGTCTTTGGTAAAAGTATATTTGAAGTTAGGTCTTGACAAAGTCAGTATTTTAGTAGAAAAATATTTAAAGTTAGCCTTGTCAAGTTCATAATTACAATAAAAAATATTTGAAATTTGTCTAGGCATACCAAACATTAGATGAGAACATATGATATTTAACCTTTTCAAGACCTCCCCTAGATAACCTTCATATGCGAATATCTTAAGTTGTACCCAAAGTGGGTAAACTTACAAAATTTAATTTCGAGTTATAAATTGTAGGTTTAGCAAACATAAAAATTATATTAGCGCTCTATAGCTATATTTTTTTCTATTTGCACTCCATAGCAAAATATGTTTGCTATGGAGCATCAGATTTGTATAAAAATCGCAAGCAACATCTGATTGTATAAAATGATCACAAGCATCTGATTTGTATAAATCAGGTGTCTGCATCTATGAAAATTGTGTTTGTATATGTATATGTTATTTGTGTTTATATATCTGCATAAAATTTGAATTCGTATACAATTGAATCGAGTTAAAACAATTGTATTTGTGTATCAAATCTCTCTCGCTTTATACAAACACAAATTATACATTGTATTTTGTATAATTTGTGTTTGTATAAAGCGAGAAAAAGAGAAAGACAAAAGAGAACTGGGCAGGGGAAGATTTGTATTTGTATAATTATAAGTGCATATGACGAAGATATATGTATTTGTATTTGTATATACAGTTTTCTCTCGCTTTATACAAACACAAACACAATTTATACATTTCTGTTTGTATAAAGTGAGAGTGACATGCGAGATTCAGGGGAGAGGGATGAATGACAAAATGTTTACTATGAATTAGAATTAAATGAAATGTGATTATAATATTTATTTTGAATTAATAATTTGCTATTTTATACATTTTCCTAAATTAAATGACAACTCCAAAAACGGATAGTTGTATCCTTCACCCAATTTTGTATCTCAGGTATAAGACTATAATAAGTCCTATAAAAAGGGATGTGTGAAGTTTCCACTTCAAGCCCAGTGTCTTTTCAAGGGCCTTGATATACTGGGCTTTTAATCTTCTGGGTCTATTAATGTCCGGACCCATCTAATCAGACACATCACTTTTATCTGAAAATATTCAGTTAGTGGGCTCGACACAAAGTACACGGCCGAACCCCACTTGACTGGCACTACTTTTAAGACAGTTATTGCTGAAAACCCCAATCTTGTAATTTCACCATCCTCCACCGCAAAGTCACACCCACGAGGGCGGTTCCTTAAAGGAAACAGACCTCAAATCAATTTTTATTTTTACTATATAGTACTATTAAAAATAAATTATTTAAAAGATAATAGTAATAAATGAATAATTTAACTCAGTTAATCATACTCTTTCTGTTCATAATGTTTAAGGAGTTGAAACCTTTTTTTCTCTTCGAATTTTGTATAATTTGTTTTCTAGTACATAATAGTACGGGAATTAGGGGTGTGCCCTATTTGAATTAAATCAAATCAAATTGAATTTTAATTTGGATTGGTATTTTGGTTTTGGATTTATAATTTACTTTGTTTGTTTTTTTGGTTTGATTTTGGATTTAGAAAAATAAAAACTGAAAAAATCAAATTATATATATAAACCACTTTTGTCACTTTTTAGTTACTGACTTTCATTATGTTTTAGTTTATATTTTATGTTTGGACATCTATAATTGTATAATTGATATACTTTTAAGTATTGTGCTTTCGTTTTACTTGTGATTAGGGGTGTATAAAATCGAACCGAAAATCAAACCAAACCGCAAATCGAGTCAAACCGAACAAAAAACCCGACTAGTGGTTTGGTTTGACTTGGTTTGGTATTGGAAAAAAAAAATCCAACTATATTTGGGTTGGTTTGGTTTTAACTAAAAAAAAACAACCCAAGATCAAACCAACCCGACATTATATATGTAATTTTAAAATTTTATTTTATACATAAAAATATTTACGTTGATATAATTTTAAAATATTTCTTATACTATTTCATAGTTTTTATCTTTTAATATATTATTTCAAGTTTAAAACTTAGAATTCGGAATGGTCCAATAAAGATTATAGTTCATAGATGTTGATAATTATAATAAAACTTAAATCAAAATCAAATTAATACTAATGCAAAAAGAAAATCAATTCAACA